CCGCACCCCGCACCCCCGGACCTCCCACCTCCTGACAGCTCTGCTTCCTGCCCTGCCCACCTCCCGGCCAGCCCTCCCCCCCACCCCGCCCATGATCAAGTGTGTCCGGTTTTTTGGCGGGGTCTACCTGGCAACCCTATGTGATGCACAAAATTCTAATGCAAACTAACTGTTCCCAAATGAAAATCTTGAATGTTCCAAAGCCAGGGAAAGACTATCATCTAGGAAAAAACTCCTGGTGCAATTCAAAAGTTCTACTCTGGCTGACAAAGCAGCAGGGCCTGATGGATATAGGATAATTTATATAAGCAGCTGAGTTTCTTGCTAGGCACAGCCAGGCCATACTGCACTGACTCTCTCTTGCCTACACCAAATTAAACCACAAAGGAGCTAAGGTGCTTAAGTCCACGCTCCTAGAGGTAGTTTTCTAGAGTGTCTCAGAGATGGATTTTCAAAGGTATCCAGGCAGCTAAATGGTTCAGACAGGTGCTTAGTAAGACTTTCAAAATTGCCAGTGGCCAGCTCCACTTCTGAACACTTGGGCTGGATTCATAAAGGAACTTTGGCATCCAACTCTCAGTGTAGACACCTACATGCCAGTATCAGGCCCCACTAGGCTGCTCCTGAACCTGGTAGGTGCCTACACTCACTCAGCACCTAGGTACCCAGCATGCACCCTGCAGCTCCACACCAGGTGCCCAAATGCCCAACCATCCAGGGGCGGATATAGAGCAGGGCGAACGGGGCGGCCGCCCCACACATGCGCTGTGGCAAAGCGGGGGCCCCGCAGAATTATGCTGCCCAGGGCCCCGCAAAATGGTCATCTGCCCCTGCAACCATCCCTGCAATGCATCAAAGGAAGGGCGACAAGCACTGCTCCACCTCACCTGCCTGGGGGCCCTACCTGAGCAGCGTGCTCCGAGATCACTTGCCATATTGAGCCTATCTGTGAACTAGCATAAAAGAGGGGAGGGTGGAGGAAGCCTCCTGCCTTGTGTTTAGCCTAGGACTCAACACCCTCCCCTGCCATAGACTCATACAATAGAATCATAGAACACTAGAACTGGAAGGGACCCTGCGAAGTCATCGAGTTCATCCCCTGCCCTCAAGGCAACAAAATTGATAGAAAATATGATCGATGAAGGAAGACTGAAAGAATTGGGTTTGTTTAGTTTAGAAAAGAGAAGACTACGAGGGGACATGATAGCAACTTTCAAGTACCTAAAAGGTGGTAACAAGAAGGAGGGAGAAAAATTGTTTTCCTTGGCCTCTGAGGATAGGACAAGAAGCAATGGGCTTATACTGCAGCAAGGGAGGTTTAGGTTGGACATTAGGAAAAACTTCCTGCCTGTCAGGGTGGTTAAACACTGGAATAAATTGCCCAGGGAGGTTGTGGAATCCCCATCTCTGGAGATATTTAAGAGCAGGTTGGAGAAACACCTGTCAGGGATGGTCTAGATGGTGCTTGGTCCTGCCATGAGGGCAGGAGACTGGACTCAAAGACCTCTCAAGGTCCCTTCCAGTTCTAGTAGTCTACGATTCTATGCATAGCCCAGCCTCCCCACACACACTTCCACCTGAGGGGAAGAAGGGCTGTGAATAAGCTGAGTGCTCTAGCCGTCGTGTGAGAGAGGGCTGCGGTTGCCTCATTGAGCATAAACACCGAAAAAGCCATGAGCATGGCTCTGGGCTGGAAACTCACTTAACCCTGTGCCAATTACTTCAGCCACTATTTGACAGCTTCAGCAGCAGAGACTGATATTTTGCTCAAGGGCATGTACCAGAGCCCAGTGGTTGGAGTCCTCACCTGAGAACCAGCAGGGCTGTCAAACTCCTTCTGGGGGCATGAACTGAGGCTCTTCCCCAGGCCAGGTAAGTGTCCTGAGCACTGGGCTGCGTGATCGGAGGAAGCCCACCTCCTTCTCACAAAAACATAGCAGGTGCCAAATACCAAGAGCGGGTTTGCAGCCAAGACTCCCAAGCAGAGGGAGGCACCTCCTGCAGCCTGGGTTGTGGTGCCAAAGTCTCTGAGCATGGCAAGGCTTAAGACATACCTGCTGCCTCAGCATCTTTCATTGGCCAGCTTGGGTGGTTCTCCGTCTAGTTGTTTGTTTTTGTGAATCCCATTCTTGGACACCTACTTCTCCTCATTCATTGTATTTGGTACCTGGACAACTTGCTCTCGCTTCATGATTCTCCTAATCCCAGTCCCCAACACCTGAGGCTACATCTACACTGTTTGACTGGTTAAACAGTAATAAGTCACTAGGACCAGACCAAGAGTTCTGAAGGATCTCAGTAACCTATCATTTAAATCTGCTTCCGCACCAGATGGCTAGAGAACAGCTAAAGTAACATCCTTTTATAAAAGAAGACTCCAGAGGTGATCCCAGCAATTACATATTATAAATCTAACTTCAATCCTGGACAAATATTCAAAACTACAGAAAACAACAGAATTGTCAGACATGTAGATGAACATAATTTGTTGGGTAAGAGTTAACATGTGTTTTGTAAAGGGAAATCATGCCTCACCCATAAATTATAATTATTAGAAGGAGTCAACAAGCATGTTGGCAAGGGGGATCTAGTGGATATCATGTACTTAGACTTGCAGAAAGCCTTTGACAAGATCCCTCACCAAAGGCTGTTAAGCAAATAAGCAGATCTAGTATAAGAGGGATCATTTAGCTGTTACCACTCAAAAGAGATCTTGGGAGTCACTGTGGATAGTCCTTTGAAAACATCACTCAATATGTAGCTGAATAAAAAAGAGAAAAAAAAACAAGCAGAATGTTCAGAGTCATTAGGAAAGAGACAGGCAATAAGACAGAAAATATCACAATGCCAATATATAAATCCATGGTACACCCACATCTTGAATACTCTTTGCAGAGCTAGTTGCCCCAACTCAAAAAGGCTAAGAGGGGATATGATAGAGGTCTCTAAAATTGTGACTGCTGCGGAGAAAGTAGATAAGGAAATGTTATTTACTCCTCAGAACACAAGAACTAGGGGTCACCAAATAAAATTAATAGGTAGTAGGTTTAAAACAAGCTAAAGGAAGTTTTTCTTCACACAACACACAGACAATCTGTGGAAATCATCACCAAGGGATGTTCTGAAGGTCAAAGTTATGACAGGGCTCAGAAAAGAACCAGATACATTCATGGAGGTTAGGTCCATCAATGGCTACTAGCCAGGATGGGCAGGGATGGTGTCCCTGGCCTCTGTTGGCTGGAATCTGAGAATGGATGACAGGTGAAGGATCGTTTCATGATTACCTGCTCTGCTGATATCTTCTGAAGCACCTGGTGCTGGCCATTGTCGACAGACAGGCTACTGGGCTAGATGGACCTTTGGTCTGAACTAGTCTGGCCGTTCCTATGTTCTTATTACCTGTGGCTGACTCATTTCAGCTGATTTGAGCTCATGGGGCTTGGGCTGCCAGGCTGTTTAATTGTGGTGTCAACATTCAGGTGATATGGCTCGGACTTGCAGTCAGGGCAGATCTGCAAACAAGTCTTTGGGCCTGGACCCCCAAGCAAGGTGGGGCAACAACCAGTCTATGCCACTGGCCTGCAATCAGGGCAGAGCAACAATCAGCCAGGGTCTCACTTAAACAAACTGGGCAGCAGGAGTGGCGAATGCTAAAAGCGAGCACACCCCTATCCCGGAGCTGGAAGGAAGACAGCAAAAACTAGGTTCAAATTCTCACCAAAGTAGCTCCAAAATGGAAGCTGGAGATAGCACAACAATAACCCTGAGTCAGAGTTTGAGGAGTTTGTTTACTTCATGTACTCAGAATTTAGAGGCTGTGCCTGTTAACGAACAAAAGCTGGAAATGGTCACTGATCCCAGGAGGGAAAGAAACTATTCATGTTGCCTTTTTGAATTAATAAATAACCAGCATTACTCTCCTATAAGAAAGAGTATTTTGCCTGAGTTCCAAAGCACCAGCCCACTGAACTATAGCTATGGCTGTGGCATTGTGTTGAGGGACTCAAAGACAGACTTTTTACAAGAGCTTAGGCATCTGGAGATGAATGTGTTTTCCAAAGTTCCAAGTTGGCTCTGAGCTGCAGAACATTGGTCTCTACTCAGCCTTCATGGCATCTCTGAATGCCTCGTTGCTCATAATCAGATCTGGCAGAAGACAGACCTGTCAGCAGTGAAGAGAAGAAGAAAGACCCAATATACAGCCCTGCCAGGAATTGTGCAAATGCTCCGGCTGGGGACATGCTACAATGGTGTCTCACAATGAACAGTGGGAAAGGAACCCACCATCGCAGTGCTCTCCGCTGAGATGAACATGGGAGGCATGATAAGAGGTGCTTATATTCAAAACTACAGAAAACAACAGAATTGTCAGACTTAGGTTTGGTGCTGGGTGGGAGTGAGGGGCAGCCAGGAGAAGGTTAATAATTGCATATGCACCTTTCCAGGCTGTCCTTTCAGTTGGAGGCTAATAACCCGAAACAAATCACTAAGGCTACATTTAGACTGCAGGCTTCTTGCGCAAGGAGCTTTTTGTAAGATCTTCTACAAAAACTTCTTGCACAAGAGCGCATCCACACTGCAACAGCACATCAGAAAAGCGATGCGCTTTTGTGCAAGAGAGCATGCACACTGCATGGACACTCTCTCACAAGAAAGCTCTGATCAGCCACCAGGGCACTGTGCTTCTTTCGGTAGGCTGGTTTTGTGCAAAAACCTGTTTCCTATCCACAAACACCTTTTTGAGCAAGAGCTGTTGCACAAAAGGCTTATTCCTCGTAGAAATAAAGAATAACCTAGGGTGTGTCTAGACTACAGGGTTTTGTCCACAAAAGTAGACTTGTCGACAAAGCTATACCTGCATCTATACTACTGCTGAGTTCTGTCGACAGTACATCTAGACTACAGGCTTTTGTTGACAGAGGCTTCTTCGACAGATAATGTCGATAAAGCTTCTGTCATGGAAACAGAATCATAGAACTGGAAGAGACCTCAGAAGGTCATCAAGTCCAGCCCCCTGATCTAGACAGGCCCAATCCCAACTAAATCAACCTGGCCAGGGCTTTGTCAAGCCAAGACTTAAACACCTCTAGGGATGGAGACTCCACTACATCCCTAGGTAACCCATTCCAGTGCTTCACTACCCTCCTAATGAAATAGTTTTTCCTAATATCCAACCTGGACCTCTCCCACCACAACTTGAGACCATCGCTCCTTGTTCTGCCATCTGTCACTACTGAGAACAGCTCCGCTGGACCCTCTCCAATGCGTCCGCATCCTTTTTGTAGTGGGGGGCCCAGAACTGGACACAGTACTCCAGATGTGGCCTCACCAAAGCCGAATAAAGGGGAATAATGACATCTCTGGATCTGCTGGCAATGCTCCTCTTAATGCATCCTAATATGCCATTAGCCTTCTTGGCTACAAGGGCACACTGTTGACTCATATCTAGCTTCTCATCCACTGTAACCCCCAGGTCCTTTTCTGCAGAACTACTACTTAACTGGTTGGTCCCCAGCCTGTAACTATGCTTGGGATTCTTCCGTCCCAAGTGCAGGACTCTACACTTGTCTTTGTTGAATCTCATGAGATTTCTAGTGGCCCAATCCTCCAATTTGTCTAAGTCACTCTGGACCCTATCTCTGCCCTTAAGCGTATCTACCTCTCCCCCTAGCTTAGTGTCATCTGCAAACTTGCTGAGGGTGCAATCTATCCCCTCATCCAGGTCATTAATAAAGATATTGAACAAAACCGGTCCTAGAACCGAACCTTGGGGCACTCCACTAGAAACCGACCTCCATCCTGACATCGAACCGTTGATCACTACCCGCTGGGCCCGGCCTTCTAGCCATCTTTCTATCCATCTTACCGTCCATTTATCCAATCCGCATTCCCTTAACTTGCTGGCAAGAATATTGTGGGAGACCGTATCAAAAGCCTTGCTAAAGTCAAGGTATATAACATCCACTGACTTTCCCATGTCCACTGAGCCAGTTACCTCATCATAGAAGCTAATCAGATTGGTCAAGCACGACTTGCCCTTTGTGAATCCATGCTGACTATTCCTGATCACTTTCCTCTCATTCAAGTGTCTCAAAATGGATTCCTTAAGGATCCCTTCCATGATTTTTCCAGGAACCGAGGTAAGACTGACCGGACTATAGTTCCCTGGATCGTCCTTCTTCCCTTTTTTGAAGATGGGCACTACATTTGTCTTTTTTCAATCATCCGGGATTTCTCCCGATCTCCACGACTTTTCAAAGATAATGGCCAAAGGCTCCTCAATGACATTTGCCAACTCCCTCAGTACCCTGGGATGCATTAAGTCTGGACCCATGGATTTGTGTACATTTAGGTTTTCCAAATAGTTCCTAAGCTGTTCTTTACCCACCACGGGCTGTCCATCTTCATCCCATCTTGCATCACTTAGCGCATTAGTCCAGGAGCCGACCTTGTCCGTGAATACAGAGGCAAAGAAAGCATTGAGTACTTCAGCTTTCCCCACATCATCTGTCACTTCATCCAGTAGGGACCGCACATCCTCTCTGATCACCTTCTTCTTGTTAACATGCCTGTAGAAACCTTTCTTGTTATCCTTCACATCCTTAGCCAGTTGCAATTCCATCTGTGCTTTCGCCTTTCTGATAACCCCCGGCACTCTCGAACTATACATTTAAACACCTCCCTGGTCATTTGTCCAAGTTTCCACTCTTTGTAAACTTCCTTTTTGTGCTTAAGTTCACCAAGGATTTCTCCTGTAAGCCAATCCGGTCTCCTACCATGTTTGCCTCTCTTGCTATGCGTCGGGATGGTTTCTTTCTGTGCCTTCAATAAGGCTTCTTTAAAATACTGCCAGCTGTCCTGGACTCCCTTCCCCTTCATGTTAGCATCCCAGGGGATTCTGCCCATCAGATCTCTGAGGGAGTCAAAATCTGCTTTTCTGAAGTCCAAGGTGTGTATTTTACTACTCTCTTTTCTTTCTTTGGTCAGGATCCTGAAATCTACCATCTCATGATCACTGCTTCCCAGGTTGTCACCCACCTCCACTTCCCCTATTAGTTCCTCCCTGCTTGTGAGCAGAAGGTCAAGCTGCGTATGGCCCCTGGTCGGATCCTTCAGCACTTGTGCCAAGAAGTTATCCCCAACATTCTCCAAAAAGGCCTGGGTGGGCTGGCAGAACCCTGGTCCCAGCCCTAGTGGTGAACCCCTGCCCCAGCTACACCACAGCAGCCAAAGCAGGACTCTGGCTGAGCCCTGGCTGCTCTTAGTTGGACTGGGTGGGCCAGCAGAAGTGGCTGGGCAGGCAAGTGGGTGCCCAGCCCTGGCAGCTGTCCGCCAGTGGTTAACTGGTTAAACAGTAATAATGTAACTGTTTAACCACTGAACAATTGTCATGGTTTTGTGCATCTCTAGTTCAGAGTGTGTGAGCCAATTCACCAAAAGATGCCAGATAACATGGGAAAAGATTTGCACTGTGTGACCCTGGGGCATTTACACCAGCCCCCCAGACAAGAATATGTCAAAACTTCCCCCTGCAGAGCAGCTACGAGGCACCTGTCAGGCCAGTTCTCATGGAAAGCCAAAGGGGCTACTGAGACTGACCACTTCTGGGCTTGTTACTCATTAGCGCCTGCCAAGGCGGGTGTGAATGTCACAATCAACATTCCTGTACCCTGACCTCCCAAACAGTCCTTCCTTCTCTGTGGTCAGAGAATGCTCATAGAGCCATGTCCAAAGGAGGGGAGGAGAGGCAGGCACTAGATGCTTGGTTGGCTAATGTTAGCAACAAGGGGCAGCTCAGGATTAGATTTGTAATAACACAAGCATTTCGGAGAGGTTTAAAATACAATAAAATAAAATAAAATCATCCGGAAAGCAGAGCTCCAAGGTGAGTCAAGAGCTGTTCTTGCTCCCTGAAGCCTGGAGAAATCTCACTGCCCTGAAATCTCCACCAGTATCAGTTCCCGTCTTGGGCCAGGAACAAGCAATACAGGTCCAGCTGGCCACCAGGGATGGTGGTGCAAAGCTGCGACTTAAGGGCCTGAGCAGCTGAACAGGAGCAGTACCAAAGGGGATGTCACTGAGAGCAGGGAAGTGGTACTGAATTCCAGTGTAGGGCACCCCGCTCTGGTGAGAAAACTTTAGGGCAGCTCCAGGGCTGAAGACAGAATTGCTGAGCTTCTGGGTAAGGTGGAGGAGGCTGGCTCCAGACTTCAGAAGAGGCAGGTGCGACTTAAGGGCCTGAGCAGCTGAACAGGAGCAGTACCAAAGGGGATGTCACTGAGAGCAGGGAAGTGGTACTGAATTCCAGTGTAGGGCACCCCGCTCTGGTGAGAAAACTTTAGGGCAGCTCCAGGGCTGAAGACAGAATTGCTGAGCTTCTGGGTAAGGTGGAGGAGGCTGGCTCCAGACTTCAGAAGAGGCAGGGCCTCAGATGAAAAGGGCAAGGCTGGGGCTAGGGCTAGCCTCCCCCCAGCCAGCACTTCAGCACTGCCAGACCCATACCACCCAGGGCTCCAGCTGCTGCCCTTTTTGCCCCTCCTGTCCTCAGTGGCCCTGAACAGCTCCATCTATTTATTTTACTGAAGAGAAAGTTAAGAGGCAATGTATATTAGAGGCCCTTTGACTTAGCAGGCAAAGGCAAATCAAGATCCAGTTGATGAAAGCTCAAGTCAGCCAAGTGCAAACTGGAAATACCAGACACATTTTAACAGGGAGGCAATTAACAGGCTTGATGGAAAACGATTCCATTTCACAAACGATTTAACCAAGACTGCTGGAAAATCTTGTTCAGGGGAGGGAAAGACCGAGAGAGAGATGGTGGGTACAGCACGGAATTGGGCTGTGCAGACCCCGCTTGAACTCCTTGCTCTGCCTGCTTCTGCGCACATCCCTAGGGAGCATCTTGATCAGCAGGCTGCAGAGCCAGTCCCTCTTTCTGCCCCAATTAATAGTTAATTTTAAGAGTGAAGACTGCTGGAAAATCTTGTTCAGGGGAGGGAAAGACCGAGAGAGAGATGGTGGGTACAGCACGGAATTGGGCTGTGCAGACCCCGCTTGAACTCCTTGCTCTGCCTGCTTCTGCGCACATCCCTAGGGAGCATCTTGATCAGCAGGCTGCAGAGCCAGTCCCTCTTTCTGCCCCAATTAATAGTTAATTTTAAGAGTG